CATGCTTTGTTCACCCTGGAGTTATTTAGAGATCCTCTTCTCTGCTGTAAATGGCCTTAGGGGGACCCTCAGCTTTAGCCAGACATGGTCAACAGGTCTGCATCTTTTGGGGCAGAGGGCAGTGTTGTTTCCAATGCCTCTTTTGCTTGCACATGAGACAGGGTTTCTTTGATGGCTACCTTCCTTGCCTAATGTGCAGATCTTCTGTACCTACAGCAAACCTCTTGGGAGAGTACTTCCCAATTTTTGGAGACAGGGTCAACAAAAAGAGACATAGGCTGAGTCCAAATTCAGGAGTTGAACCTCCAGTGGGATGTGGGGAACACAGGCAGCAAAGATGGCCCTGAGAGGAAGTTGAGTGGGCAGAGCCTGATTTGTTTAGTTCAGTGCATAAACAGCTTGTGGAAGCTTAGGTGAATGATAAGTTGTAACCTTTACAGTGATTGGTTGGTTCCATTTCCTCTCCTCCCATGCAGTCTTTTGCTTTAAAAAGGGCTTGTTCTGTGTTAATAAATGAGTTCCTGCTTGACTTGATTTCCTGCTGTCTGATTGTCTCCTGGGCTAAGGGAGGCTGGAGGATGGTGGAGCGGCTGCACTTACCTTTCCTTGGAACCCATCTGTCTTTCGTGGGACAGACAAAGACCCGACAGTGGGATGGCATGTACACAGCTCTAGATTTTCCAAGAATGAGTTAGAATGAACATCTCTGTCCTCAGGAAGTCCAATGAGATGAACCCTTATGAGAGCCCAGATGGAGAAGAGCAGAAGAGATGGAGAAGGGAAAGCTGCAGAGACCACAACAGGGTATTTGACTGGACTGGGGAGGGGTACTGTGAGAAGGTACCATGCCAGTAGCACTGTGCCAGCTGCTGCAGGATCCACTCAAGAAAAGCCAAACATTTGTAATTTTTTTTCACCAGTCCTGGAACTTGAACTCAGCCTGGGTGCTGAACTTCTTTTGCTCAAGGCTAGTGCTCTATCACTTGAGCCACAATGCCACATCAAGCTTTTACTGCATAGTTTATTGGAGATAAGTGTCTCACAGACTTTCCTGAATGGGCTAGTTTTGAACCCTGATCCTCAGTCATGAGCCACTGGCACTTGACTTCCCAACATCTTTAATAGTCCATGCTCACATGGGATTATTTAGAAGAGGACCTCAGCTGAGCACCAGTACCAGTGACTCATGCCTATAATCCTAGCTACTGGGGAGGCTGAGATTTGAGGATCACAGTTTAATCCAGCCTAGGCAGGATTGTCCAAGGGACTCTTAGCTCCAATAAACCACCCTAAAGCCAGAAGTGAAGCTGTGGCTCAAGTGGTAGAGCACTAGCCTTGAGCAAAAATACACAGGGACTGTAGTACCCAGAGTCTTGGAGCCCCCCGTTGACCACCAGTGACCTTGGACAATGCAAGTGGCAAAGAGTCGTTTATTAACGAACTCACCAGCACGGACCTCATGCACACCATTGTAGGTGTGTTAGTAAGAAGCCCTGAACAAAGGGTTACGGCACCTTTTATACATTTTAAGGTAGGGGCAGGGCCCCAGTAGACACTCACAGCAAATCACTATGCCACACGGAAAATTTTGTAACACTCTTTGTAAAATGATTGGCACGGGGTGACTCAAGGGGTATGGTTGCTTTGGATGATAAGGATTAGGGGGAATTCTCATAGGTACAAGCTTGCAATTGGTTGACATTTGGCCTAGTTTGCTGGTCCTGCCAGATGGTCATTATCTCGGGGTCCAGTTCCCGGAGGAGGATCTGGAATATGTGTTAGCCATTGTTCCAGGCTCTGGGAATGTCTGGGGCTTGACGTCTATCTATCACGGCGGTTACATTCATTAGAGTTTGTTGACACAGACCTATCTTTATATTTTAACGTTAGCAAAAGCAAGGTACAGAAGCGAAGTCAGCAGTTAGTGACTGCAAAATGGTGAATATAGTTCTTCACGACCACACCCAGGCCTTGAATTCAAGCCCCAGAATCAGAAAATAAAGAGGATCTCCGAAAATTTCTTCAGTTGCATATCCTCCGAACTTTTATTTCCTCTTATATTCTGACTTACATATTTCAGTGATTTGTCTCCCTTCCCTGCAAGCATAGTTTCTTCCAGATTGGGGATCTTTCAAACAGCAGGGGGACATTTTAATAGACAACCACTTAAAAGATGCTCTGCTGGATACAGTGAGTGAACTAAAAGTTCTGCTTTGTCTCGGTTGTCCTGTGATCTGAGCTGTTCTCTGCTGCAGTTTCTTTGACATCATTTGTTCACCAGAGAAAAGAGAAGATTCGGTGATGATAACCATCTTGCATGGGAAGCAGACTTGCCCCTCCAACAAACAATGTCTTCTCTTTATTATCATAAAGTTCAGGAGACCTGAATCACTCCTGTTCTCTCCAATAATAAAGTGACCATGACTTTTCCAGAATCCTTCCTTGGCCCAAGCCTGAGCTAATGGTCAATCAAGCCACACCTGTGGCTTAGAATTGTTTTCACTGTGTATACTACTCTTATCCTCCGTTCCCAATTCTCCCTATTTAATATGAAGCTAATTTCTATAGCTCTAAAGATTGCTGAGATGTACTGAAGTGCTGTCTTTCCATCATGACCATGGAATAAATCTCCTTTCTCTGCCCTAAAAAACAAAAAACAAAACAAAACAAAAAAACAGAAAGCAGTCACATCAATGTCTAGTGCATTGGGGTCCCTGGGTAAGGGTCACGAAATCACCTGGACACAGGGGATGCAGAGTGCAAACAGCAATTGCCACTGCCTGCTGTGCTTTATTGTTAGAGGGTATTTAAAGACAAGCAAGCATAATCTTTGCCAAGATTTGGTTAGAAAGCATTCACACAAAAAATTTCCACAGAGCTGGGCGCTGGTGGCTCACGCCTGTAATCCTAGCTACTCAGGAGGCTGAGATCTGAGGATCGCGGTTCAAAGCCAGCCCGGGCAGGAGAGACCGTGAGACT